GTGAACTATACCTGAACCGGGCGGTACAATCAGCATGTTATCAAAAGCTCTCGCACCCCACTTTTAAAAAGATATTGGAGGATATTAAGAGAGAACAGCAATTAAAACGAGAATTATTTTTTAAGATTTTTTGCCCCTGAACCTTTCGGACTCAAACTAAGTAGGTAGGTCTTTAATATAAATTTATGCTTTGCCTTCTTAAGTAACGCGGGAAAATCTAACTTTGACTGCTTGCAAGAGACGAAGTCGAACCATTCTTACAACAATTTTTTTTTATTTAACAATAGGTAAGAATGGTTAAGAATGGCATATTATGTCAAGCGCAAGATTAAACGCGTTAACTTGCTCCTGATATCCAAGCTGGCTCATTTATCCACGTATGGTTATAGATAATTACCTTCAAAAAAGTGAAACGTTCCTTATTGCGTTCGAATTCTAGATTTTGATTTTTAGCTAAAGCGTCGGAAGTACCCGAAAAATCGACTTGCACCGAATGATCAATTACTAAATCTGCAGGACAAATCGGATTAATTTTTTCAGGATTGCCTCCTAATTCTAAGACAGCGTCGCGCATAGCAGCAAAATCAACAACAGCAGGGACACCGGTAAAATCCTTAAACATTAATGAAATATAAATAAACATTTTTTTTTTCTTTAGTCAATCAATCATCTTATGCTTCACCTGTAATATAACCCGAGCTGGCTTAAATGAAATTTCTTCATCATTTTGTCCTAGTCTATTATCCGGTTTCCAATTCAAAATGCATTCAACATCTTTTTTGAGTATGTGGAAATTATCACAATTGCGTACTGCCGATTCCAATAATACACGTATAGAAAATGGTAGCTGATCTGAATATGAGAGAAAAAAAAAAAGAATTAGAACAAATTTATTATTTACTATAAAAAGTTCTATAAAAATTTCTTCATATACAACAAAAGATGGCTTATAAGCTTGGAAAGTCTTTTGAATTTGTTTTTATAACTTATGTGCCAAAAGTATTTTTTTCTGTTTATAAAAAAAACTGCGGAGAATGTCAAACGCGCTTAATTTTATTCAAAACAACTTTATTATTAGGGAGAACATTTTGTATGCACATATATTATGCAAATTATGAAGGTAATCAACTCTTCGTTTACTTTCGTATGCATACATTCATAAATACATACATACTAAGTAAAAGTTCCAAAAGTTCGACTTGAATAAACACAAACATTATCCCATATAATAACTCTTTGAACTCTTCCCAAAAAAGCAAGTTGCATGCCAAGTATTTAGGATCTCTTCTTTTTTTTTGTTGTAGAATGCGCAACTAGTTATAAGATGATGAAAGCTTAAATGAAAATGATTAAAACTCACCGTATTTCGGATCAATTGAAGGCAAATCATAATATTTATAATTTTCACCGCCTTTGACGAATGCCTTTTCGAATTGCGCATAAGGATTTATACCTGTGCGAAGGAAAAACATATCACGTCAACAAAAACAATATTATGCAATTTCATATATGCCGCTACATACTAGCCATGGTTTTCCTGTGGAATAATTTTTCAAGAAATTGTAATTTTATTTATCTCTCTAATGATGACTACACAAATAAAATTTAGATTTTTTTCGAAAAAACAATAAATATGAACGATTGACCAGCTCTAAGCACTTTTGACAAATAACTAAAAATTTCTCTGATAAAGAGAAGAAATTATCCACGATTAATGCTAGGAATAAGTTAGCTTATGAAGATAACAAACCGAAACGAAACAAAATATCAATGCGGAATGACATTCCAATAAACTCGTGTGTGCATGTGCTTTTATAAAAATGTGAATATATTCATTAGGTTATTATTAACTTTTTTTAAATTATTTATTCAATTCAAGAATAAAGAGTATATATATTTTTGAATTAGTATTTTGTAAAGTTTTTTTGAATTTTCATGAAAATCATTATAGGAGTCACAATTGAAATGGCAACAAATAAACCATTAGGTAGGCGAGAACTCATAAGAAAAAAGGAAATTGCAACCAATGAATGAAAGTAATTCATATGTTTTGTCGACTTATTGAAACAAATAATTAAAAAATAAATAAAAAGGAATATTATCTAACGACAAACTCTCTAATATAATATCTATATTTGAAATAATTCAACATATGACGTACGTATTTTTAATTACATAAAAGGACTGTATGTCCAAGTCCTCGAAACCTAAGAAAAATTGCAGAAATTTTTCTTTACGATTTTTAATATGTTCAGTTTAAACGTCGAAGCTTGAGAAACCTGATCAGATCCTATATGTTTTAGGCACTTAATGTTGCGACATTTGGATATTTCCTTTAGAAGAATAAACATATAGAAGTATGACAATTTACAAGAATTGGTAGCCAATTGTCAAAAAAATGCCACGACTGCGGGTTACAAATTAGGTAGGCAAATTTGTATTGCAAATCTCGATAGATTATATAAAGGGTACCTGAATCAACAAAATAAGAAGAATATGCAAAATAAATGCGTACGAACTAGGGATCTGATTAAATACTTCCAAGGAGCGTTACGAAAAAATTAAGTGAGTAAAATCAATTGCCAAACTTTCTAATAAATGAGAAAATGGCAAAAAGGCGAGTACCACCAATTGACTCATTACAAACAATAGAACAAGCACAGCCATATTTGAAGGCTTAGTCGAAAGGATCTTTGTATCCAAGCCGTGAATTTCATTCTATTTTTATCATTTTTCAGATTTCGCTTCGATTTTAACAGAACGTTTAATAGTGGTTCGGTTTTGACATTCACTATCTTTTGGTAGACGAAAGGTTAACAGTTCTTCCAACGGCTATCGCTTCTCTGTATCAAGGAAGACTGCATTCAGAACATTAAATCACATTTGGAGTTTTGTATTTTCAGTTACGAAAAAGTAACGTTGCTCGGTGGAGTTAAGTTTTTGTGTTGCCTTCAACTAAGAGTATAAGTATAAGATTTCCTTCTATTGCGTATTATTTCCATAAATTCTAAAAAGATCGACCTTCAACAATATTTTGTAAGGAATCTTAATTTAGTGGACAATATTACTATCGGCACTATTTCTGTATACTCAACGAAAGTGTTTAAACTTGAAATTAAAAGATTTGCAACAATTCCCAAGTGTCACATGACCCCGATAAGTAAATCAATTCTTAAGAACTGTTATTTTCCTATAGCGCCCATAATACGAGTATAGAATGCGTAGCTTGTAACTTCAATTCTAAGAAAACAAACAAACTCGAAATCTAGTACAAAAAGAAGATGTATTTATAATGATCTACAAGCTTCTCTTTGAATAACGGAAAATGATGAAATTATTTATATCATATTTGCCATAGTATAGCGATTAATAATTTTTTGAAGAAATAAATTCAAACTTATTACTGAGAGCAATGATATTTAGATTAAAATATTTTTTTAAAAAATTGTTTTATAGAAACGTAAGTTTAGCACAAAACCCGTAGAGTTGGCTGCACTGAAACAGAAATTACCTCGAAAGAAATTTTTTTTTGTCAGAGTATCACAGTCATAAAGAAACACTTCGTTTGCTTTGCTTGTTCATGTTGGAAGGGCCTCTTAAAACTTATTATTATTACGAATTTCCATTTTGCATACATAAGCAGAGATGTGTATAAAAGTTGATAAAAATTCGAAATTAATATTGAAAACATTTAAGCCTCATATTGTTATTTAATATTATATATAGTATGTGCCTTTGACGTTTTATTTAATTTATAATCGTATCGCATTAAATAGTTGCGCGTTCAAAGAGCAGTGTTAAACTAATAAGTCAAGCTATCACAACAAATGTGTTTCCCGTACAACCGTACAATAACAAACAAAAAAAAAAAGAAGAAAAATAAACATTTATAGATATATTGGATATTCGAAATGAAAAAATTTTAATAAGAAAAGGTGTTAATAAGTTCTCAAAATGCTTGTGAAAACTTTGATTGTGAGCAGCAATTCCTGAAAGTAATTAAATAGACGATTTATTACTTTATACATATTTTTGATAATTATTTGCATCTATGCTTTGTGTATATTTTACTCTTCGTTTTGTTTACTATTTTATCCGGGCATCCGTAAGATGTATGACATTTCTTCTGTCTTTCGTATAAGAATGTCATAAAGACCACGTAAAATAACGAATAATAAACAAAACAATAAAAAATGCAACAAAAACAATAATCAAATAATAATAAGTTCATATAATAATTGTGGAATTCTTTCGAATAATATACTTAAATATAATTTACACGATTTCCATTAAAGATATTTTTGTTTTGTGCGTTTGTTTATCAATAAATTACACATATAAATATATATATTTTGTGTATACTATTTATACAAATAAAATTCATTCATTATGGATGACGAATTTAAATTGTGTTGGAAAAATTTCCAAGATAATATTGCCAGTGGATTTCAAAATCTTTATGATCGCGGTGATTTGGTGGACGTAACTTTGGCTTGCGATGGCAAATTATTACATGCCCACAAATTTGTTTTAGCTATTTGCAGTCCATATTTTCAGGAAATATTTATCACAAATCCTTGCAAGCATCCGATAAGTAAGTATAGCATTTTAAAAGTCTTTCTTTTTTTTTTGGCTTTTCTCTTCAGTTTCTGTTGATTTACTAAAAGATAACTTTTAAACATGACCTAATCTTTATACATATTTTAGGTTACATCTATCATATAATTTTTATCGTGAAATGTGCTTAAAATAGTCAAGTAAAGGAAGAATTACTTTTTCGTTGGCATCTTATAATGTTATTACGTTACTGCAACACAAGTTAATGGAATTAACATTCTAGGAGTGTATACACACAGTACCTGGTCGAAAACTTCTTAAACTGTTTTTTTTAAAAATATCTTCCTTGCAACAGTGATAAAAAAACAAAAAAAAAAAAAAAAAAAAAATAGGAAGACTGACTAAATTCATTTAGCGTTTGCTTAGAACTCCAAAGCGCATCCTATAAGTAAATATAAAAATTTTAAAAGCGTTCTCGTTTGCTTTATTAGCTTTCAGGCATGACCTAAAGATAACGTTATTTGCCTGTCATTTTCTAAAATTACGATTATTAAAAAGGTTGTCGTATGCTAATGAAAAGATATTGAATTCCTTTTGCTGACTATAGCGCATTCAATGCATTAAATGTGTTGCATTTTACGTATTGCTAGGAATTTTTTGACATATTGACATATTTAGAAATATATGTAAATATATTTTTTGTGATTACTTTAAACTTCTATAGAATAAATATATCTAGGTACGAAGTGTAGTTTACATATGTTTACATAATTTTCAATAGTTGCGGCAACTAGCTAAAGCTTGAAACTAACGGTTCCCTTAACACTCTTTTTTTCACTTCGGTTGGCGTTAGTTGCGCTGTGTTAGCGCAGTGTTTTAAAAGATATGTTTAGCTTCAGATTTCCATGGAAGCAGTTGTACTTTCAATACATAAATCCGGAATTGTTCGTCATTGTCTGTTATCTATTATTCTGTTCTGTAATAGCGTCCGTCAAATGTATGTCGCTTAATTTCTATATTCTTTTATTCACTTAGCAGCATCTCCGCTTACATCTTTTATTTTTTAGACATTTATCAAAAACGGTATGTGTAAACATTGTCTTGTTGTGGCGAAAATTGGCTTCCAGTTCGGGGATTTTAGCTACGAAAACAATTATTTTTTTTATAGGTAATGTAGTATTTAAAAAAAATGAGGTAATGTTTTTTCAGGAATAGTTAGAAAAAAAAAAAAAAAAAGATAGCATTTCAATTATGTGTATTTCATTATTTTTACCTTGCAGTTCTTCTGATTTGCTTCTGTCGGGTTCTAATAAACAATTCCAGTCGACAACTGAGATAATAATTTAGTCTATGCCTACGACTATGAACTATCAGTAAATGTTATATCACAAAGTTTCTTTTTTTTTGTCTTTTTCAATTTGATTGTAACAATTAGAAGTTTTCGCATCTAATAAACTTTCTTTTTTAGGAATTTTGAACCCGCTTCAGTGGCCGAATGTCAAAGTGACAAAGAGTCTCTACTAACAACTTCATAGTCGTGGTGGTTTAGAGTTTGCAAGAAAGATGATAGCCTCAGATGCCATATTATTATAACCCAAGGATGTTTCAATAGTCATAAACTTTCAACAAGCCAGTGCTTTAAGACTTTAGTCTTAGAACTTACTCTCTGGCTTAATTAGTTATAATAATGATACCCTAATTTTTACTCTGTAGGCAAAAGGTATTCGAGTAAAAAATGTAATTTTTCGAAAATTCGACACCATTCGCAGACAGTAAATATTCTCGGTCCAATTAAGAATCCAATATCATATGTGGTGTGTGAAAAGTATCCGGAATTGTTAAAGAATGCAAAAATCTATTTTTAAAATTTATTGAGTTGTTGCATATTATTGCCATATAATGCAATCGATGCAATTTTGAGTCTAATATATAACCGTATGTGGTGTGCATAAAGTACGCGAATTTGTTAAGGCAAGGGATAATACTGATATTTACTACCGGTTTTTTTATTTTTATTTCCTTACAAAGAACTAATAAAAAACATAATTGAAATATTAAGCTTTAAGCCAATCCAATGAATTTACAAACAAACAAAGTTAGGAGCTTTACTTTCAATTCTTTAGTCGTTGATTTTATTTCTGTTTCCATTCTCTTGGTATTCTCTAAAATATCTTACAACTCTCATAATTGATTATTTTTGAAATTGTAAAGTAAACGCAGATATTGTAGAGTTGGCTTCGCGATAGCTTTATATGATAATTAATGAAGTAAATAATGAATAAATATATGATTTTACTTGGTCGGCTCTACATAGCCTGCACATTGTGCCAACACTGAAGTATATGTCACAAGCATTGTAATTATCAGCTAAATTTCGATTCGATTGTCAGCTAAAGTATTCGAACGGGCTGTGTTCAACTATTAACAAAAACGATGGACATATTTGAAATATTTTGAATCAATTATCGGAAATCGAAGAAGTGATCATATCAAGTTATACACTCACGTGGGTTATTGAGTACATTGGAATTTTTGGGTATCTTAAGGAGATCTTTTTTTTTTTTTAAAAAAGCCTTAAGCAAGAAGGATACGAAGAAACAAATAGAACTGAAGTCTTTTTGGATTTAGACTAAACTTTCAATGTGCACTTAAGTAGAGTGAAATTGTATAGTTAGGATTAGCCTGAAGAATGAAAATCGAAAATTATCATGTTTACGAATTAGACTATCAGTGGGACTACAAATATAAACCTTAGGCCCGCCTTAAGCGACATGATGTTAGAAATAATCTTAAGAGTATAAATTTAAAATTTTTAAACGACTTTCGTTAGAAATTTACTTGAAAGATCAGTTCATACTTGACAATAACTTTTGCTTTGCAAACGCGCGTTTATAAGTTTAATATTTGGCTTTATATGTTGTCTTCTATAAAATTGAAAACAAAATTTAAATAAGAAAGATATTGGAAAAAAGTAATATACCCTTCCTATGCGTCAATCAACCTAAATCCAATTAGATGGCTCAATTTGTATTAGAAATAGAATTATTTATGCAATTTGTTATAATTACATATGCAAGCATTTTCAATTTTTTTTTTTTTTTTTTTTTTTGGAATAACAAATTATAAGAAGTCACCTTGCTTTAAAGGAAACGTATTCCAAGTTTATTGAATGAAAAGTCAATTACAGGTCTTCAAATCAAAAATAGCTGATATCTTCTAATATATCGGAAATCGGTGCGTAATTCGAAAATCAAAAATCTCTTTGTTGTCCCATTTCGTTGTTTCGTTTGTATTATTAGTCTCTAAAGCTCTAACAAGTCTTACCTATATTTTCATAACATTTTTTCATAAAGTTCATGTATAATTACATTTATTTCATTATTACATATATTAGTTAGTTAGATTTGCACCAACGAATTGTGATTTTCTGACAACTCAGGCCATTCTGTACAGAATTTTGGCAAGGGTTTAACGTGGGTTCCTGCCTGAAAGGCTTAACCCCACGGTGGCCAAAGCCACTTTAAGCGTACTACGCCCCCTGGCGAGTTAGACAATCCCCATAGAGTAGGGGCCTAAACAGCACCAGAGTCCAGAACGGTTTATTGTGTATGGAACAATAAACCCCACTCTGGTCAATGGTGAGGCCTAGCTGCACTCAAATTGTTCCATTTTAGCTAGGAACTCGCCAACCACAACCACCACGAGTACTCCCCGAAGGGCCTCACCCAAGCAGTCAGGACTCACAAATTGATCAACGCCTTAAGGCTTCCACTATGCTGTTGATCAATTACCACCATTACCCGCAGGCATCCGTGACATTCTGTACACAAATATTTGCCCAGTTAAAGGAGCTGGTACAAGTTAATATATTGGACGATGCGTGTTAAATTTTAGCAAGAATTGTATTGATCGACCCAAGGGACATACTCTTCTCTTGACATTTTATTGCAAAGCACTTTAGCCTGTATTAAGCCGAGTTCAAACAGTGATAGCGATAAGCTTCAGAGACCTTGTGTACATTTTCATTGACCCTTATCGAATAGTGGACTGAACTTGGCATGTTCAGCATTGCCTCGGTCGTGGAATTTAAGAGTTCGTCTTTAAATTTGATTATTTTGGTAAATTTTTCGTAGTTCAAAAAGGGCTCAATCGGTCAAAGATCGGTACAATATAATGACAATTAACAAATGAAGCTAGCAAAAAAATTTGCTTTTTTCTCCTTAATGCTTCTAAGCCGACAATTAATATAACGAAAAAAATGTCTATGCATAGTGTCTAAGTTACCTTGCAGTATATACGCTACAATGATAAAAATTATCATTTTCTTCGTCTTTTTTTTTCATGGGTATAAAATATTCGTCTACAACCGATTATAATTTTCGAAAAGTTAGCGTAAATTTACAAAGAGATATCTCTGTGGCGTAAAAACTTCAAAGAACAATGTTTAAGGGGAGTAATTTTCGCAGACTAGGGATCAAGGTATGTTGGCTTTAGTTTGGGTCGAAAACCTATGCAAACGTCACCTTGTCAACAGAAAGTGCAATTATTTTCAACTAAGACCGAGAGTTGGTATTACCATTAGAAGTTTGAATTTAAAAATTGCAAAAAAACAAAGGGCTTTCGCTTCCAAAATAGTGAAATAAATAAAATGATAAAAATAAAAAAAATGATCATTAATTCAATGCCTAAGTTGGGCGGAAATATCTGCTCAGCAAAAAAAAAAAGAGAAGAACAAGAGAAAATCAATCGCTTTTGATGAAAACATCATCATTCATCAAATTCCAAAGGAATTTTCGCATAAAATGTACGCGCAAACAGAATCCATCCTATTCATCTCACTTGGCTTTCAACTAATCGGTTTTGTTTAAACGAAGATCTTACGTCGCGAGTTCAATAAAGTATTTTAGGTATGTTAAGGAAAAAGAATTTGAAATATGGAATAAATGGATTGAAAAATTGTTAAACTTAAGCGAGAGTGAACAAATGTGCTTTCGCTTGCTACTTCCTTTTGAGTTCTTTATGAAGCTACGAATTAAT